TTCCTTTGATGTCATTTTATTTAGTACAGGAAAGTGTCAGGAAGGTAAATCTGAATTACATGTAACCGAGGTGAGTATATATGGAACATTTCTGTGCTTCCTCAGGTTTTCTTTCAGTCATTTATTGTTTAGCCCTCACTGAGATGTTTCCTCCATGTTGTAAAGTTGTCTCACTAAAGGCAGGACAGTCCTGTACTACGGTGGCCCAGAAGTGTCACAACAAAACAAAAACCACAACACAACACAATAAGCCACAGCACAACCAAAAGCCACAACACAACCAAAAGCCATAACACAACACAATAAGCCACAACACAACCTAATTAACCACAACACAACCTAATTAACCACAACACAACACAATAAGCCGCAACACAACACAACGGCTGCAACAGAAGTTGTTTTTTTTTAACCCGGAAGTTATACTGTGAAGTGCGCAACCACACGAAGTGCGCAGAAGCCGGAGAGTGTTATAACCAACTCAAAAGTAAGTAAAATACTGATGGCAAATAATGTTTGCTAATAGCGCATACCGAGATTAATGGACACTATTTGCCATCAGTATTTTACTTACTTTCGAGTTGTTTCTAACAATCTCCGGCTTCTGCCCACTTCATGTGGTTGCGCAATTCACAGTATAACTTCTGGGTAAAAAAAAAAAAAAACAACTTCCGTTGCAGCCATTGTGTTGTGTTGCGGCTTATTTTGTAGTGTTGCGGCTAATTGTGTTGTGTTGCAGCTAACTTTGTAGTGTTGTGGTTAATTTGGTTGTGTTGTGGCTTATTGTGTTGTGTTGTGGCTTTTGTTTTGTTGTGACCCCTCTAGGCCACCGTACTGTACTGTAGTCTTCTTATTATTGCTATGTGGTATGTGATTAGTCCCTGTAAAAGTCCCATGCCGAGCTTTCCTTAACTGCAGCATCAGTCATCGCCTCAAAATCTCAGGAGAGCGACTACGCCTCAGTTGCCAAGAACGTCTTCCAACAGGTGGCCGAGTACAACCGGAGCCTCATTGATTCACTGCAAAACAACAAGAGTTGAAGACATTAACCCACACATACGGCTCGTGGTTTGGGATTTGACAACACTCAGACTATCAAAACACTTTATTTGTACCCAGTCGTCTCAAAATTGAACCTTTTCTCTTGGAGTTTCACTGTTAAGTTTCCAGTGAAACATTCAGTTTATATATGAAGTTTTCAGATATCCGGTTTGTGAAAGTAGCTTTTTGGGTCAGTTAAACTGTAGCTGCTTGCTGCCGTTGAAAAAGAATAGTTGTGATCCAGCATTGTGAATATTTATATGCTATATTTTGTGTTTCATCACACAGACGTGGAGTCATTGCTGCATTCTGTGTAGGCAACTTTGTATACAATTGAACTTCTGAATTGTATTTCAATGATCAATCAGATTCTTTGGACAGACTACATTGAAAATTAAGACCCCAGAGTGTGTCACCAGACTTCAACACAACATCTTTTCGGTATGTAAAAGAAAAAAAAGCAGAGTAACAACACCTCCAGCAAAAAAATAAAAAATAAAAAAAACTGCTGGAAAAATTGTCAAAATTTCTAGATATTTTTTGCAAAACTGGTCTCCTTCATGCCGAGAAATGGAAGTCTGTCATCAAACATATAGGTTATAGATCTGAATCTCATTCATAAAAGGTGTAGTGTTGCATTGAGTTCCTACTGTGGAACATTTTTAATCTGAACTGTTAGTTTTAATTCACCAGAAGAGTAAATGCCCTACAAATTAGAATCATTTAATGTTCAAAATTGCCCACTTAATTCTGTTGTAAACTGTATTTTGTATAAATAAAGA